TCCGATTTTCCGGTTTTGGATTAAGAATGATCGCATTGCGACCAGTCAAAAATCTGAATGCCGCGTGCTGACCGATATAACAATGTTCAAATTTTGGATAAATTAATTTCCACTGTTATCGATTGGGCAAAACAATCAATGCGATTGAGGATCGGTCGTATGATTTCTGGAGCCTCCTCCAGATTGAGAAGATTATTGTATCGTATTATTGTATTGCATTGAAATATTAGCGAGTAATATAGAAGCTTTCAGTCAAAGAATAGAACACCGTTACAATTCTGATTAAAAAGGTCAAAAATTGGGACGTAAAACGTACAAAAATATGAGTTAATTACCAAGTTCCTTAGAAAGCTCAGAACGAACACTTTCCTTGTCGGTCAGTATTCGGGCAACATAAGGTACCAAAGAGTTTCTGTATGCGGATATGCAAGACGGGATAAGTTTGCCCTTAGAACGGGTGGAGGGGTCGGATTTGCATGCAAACAGGTCAATGTGTAGAGGATGGGTGCAATCAGATAGGATATTGTCAGCAAACTTTAAGCATGAATCACCTGTATTAATGCTTTAGGTATGGACAGTAATTTATATCTTGTCTACTTCGATCTACGTAGTTTCTAGTCTGTATAAGCGTCNATCTGACCTTGAGTGCCAAGATTATGTGATCTGAACATGAAAACCACAAACTTTATCAAGTATGATAACGCAATATTTTCTTATAGGAATGCCTCAAGAATTACCCCAAATTAATTCCATAAACCCTTGACATCTCGGTTATTTGTTATGAAGCATTATTTTATTCAATATCTAATCCATTATAGCAACTCTATTGAATAACCAAATGGAATTCTTCCATAACCCAGAGAAATTGAATTAAATAAGGTTTCATAATAATAATAATAATAATCTATATTTGATATCTAACTCACTGAATTCGAGAAATACCAGTTCAATCCTTGAATGACTCTGTGAAATCTGCTTTTGATTCTACTTCTCGTTCCCTTCTTTTTTTTCCTCGTAAACTAGAGAACTTTGACTCTCCTTGGGAGTTATTAGATTGACTTTCTGAGCACCTCTGCAGTCGAATTCAGTGTCCTAGGTTGGGTTGGGAGACCTTCAAACAATGAGTGAACAACTCTAGGATACCCTAAGGTGCATTCCTTTCTCCATACCTAATTTTTCACGTATATTAGTGATTTGTCTCTGCAAATGCTCCTATTTCGCTCTTCAAATGAGTCAACAATG